CGCAATCAACGCTGTCATAATGAAAATAAAGACCGATCATCCACTCGATTGATGCCACGTGTTTTCCAGATCTTGGATACCCATATACGTTTCCGGTTTAAAAGAGAACCATCGCCGGCGCTAAAAAGCCCACGAAGACGACGAAGCTGAAAAAGGGTAGCGGTGTAGTGAGGAGGGAAACCGATCCAGACCAGAATCAAAACCCTAGCCCTAGAGCGAAACTCAATCTCTTTGAAGTGTAGCAATGGCGGATTTCGAGAAACAGCTGAAGGAGAGAGCGAAGGAGCTCAAGTCCTTCTTCAAGAAGAGTGTGAAGATTGTCGGAGACTCCTGCAAGAAAGGCTGGCACAAGGTCAGACACATCAGAGGCTGATCTAATAGGATCTACCGCAGAAAAACTAGATTCCTTTAGCTTTCAATGTAAATCGTACAAGTCTACCTTCCTGTCGTTGTGTTTCTTATTTTAGTTTTAGAAAATCTACTCTTTTTCAGACTCGGAGTGCTTGGTTGCTTTCTCTTTTGCTTCTGGTTTGATGTTTGAGCGTCTTCCATGAACATCTCTGCTTGAGTTTATATTGATTTTATTTTAATGTAAATCGTTTACCTTTCGGTGTCTATACGATATCTTTCTTTAGTGTTTTCATCTGTAACGGTCTCTGCTTCATGTGGTGTACAACTCAAGGTGGGCTGAATCAGCAGAATGGTTTCTTACCCTTTACCAGACACAGATCCATACTAACGATTGATAGAGCGCCTCTCATCACATGACTGGTGTTCCTCTGTATGTTAGTTAATCAACTTTCTGTTGAATTTTAGAAGACGATCGACTAAAGGCTCCGTTCAGTAGCACCGGAAAACGGATGATTTTCTGAAAGCTGCTATTTTACGGGTAAAATCACAATTCTTCCACTAATTGTAGAAAATTCATGTGTTTCTCAACTAGTTGAGTTATTTAAAAAAAAAAAGAGAAATATAATTTGTACTTTCCAACTAAAGCAAAGCACCATAAAAAAGAGAAATAATTCCTGTTGAATATTATTTTCCCTTCGACCAAGAGGAAGAATATTATTTTCCATGGAAATCTTCATTTCCTCTCATTTTGCATGCAATCAATCCTTCACTTCACAGGCTGTCCAAGTTACACAGTTCGTACTTCATAATTAAGTTACCATTGCCAGGATGTAAACGGTGTAGAGGGACCGTTGGATTAGAATCCTTTTTAAATGCCAGGATTTATTAGTATACTATCTTTCCACCCTGGATCCGCTGGTTACTTATAAATTGGATCCGTTGCTAGATCTCCATTAGGAGTTTACCTTGGAAAAATCAGGCTGTAATCTCTATGCTTTAACTGTACTCTCTCTCTCTCTGTACTTTACTGGTCCAGAGGATTCCTTTTTTTAGTCCCGGTACACAGCATCCTATGTGAGTATTTGGACCCATGGACCAAAACCCCAAAACATCCCCCTCCCCCATGACTAGCTGTGAATGTTATTCAACGCAAGACCTACTTCTACCATGTTCTCTCTCTCTCTCTCTCTAGTCTCTACACATACACACACAGGATTCCTTTTCCGTCAAAGAAAGGAGTTACTTTAAAGTTGCATCCAACTTACCATCCACAGCCAAATCTGTCTTTCATATGTGTAAAAAAAAGGAAGAAAGAAAATAAACAATGCAAAAATGCAAAAGCTTTATGACTTGGGGCATTGGAAAAACTTAGGAAGAAATACTTTGCATGCAGCAATCCTTTTTCTGTGGTGGTAATTCTTTCTCATATCTGTCTGCGCCATTTGCAAAGGTTTCTGGAGCTGTTATATCCTGATGCTCTTGGTTACCTCTTTTGTTTAGCAAATTTTTGCCTAACAGGCTTTAAAAAAATTCTCCCCTTCCCTCCCCAGTCCTCACCACCTCCCCACCCAAATTTCAAATTGTGTAAGTTGCCAATTAAGGAAAGTTCCTCTCGTTGGGAACTCATGTGCAACTTGTGCACTAGGCCTCTCTGATTTTATATAAACTAGGCATAACAGACAGCAGAGACTAGAATATTTGTTCAGGACTGGCCATGAGTTTCCAAGGAACTAAAATTCAGCAATACTTTGCTCCACTCCCCCTAACTGGCATTGCATTTTGAAGAGTGCCCATATTTGTTCTATAAGCACCCCAATACTTTACAAAAATAAGTAAATAAATAAAGCACCCCAACACTTTGCTCTGCTTCCTTTAGTTGGCATTACATTTAAGTTTTGTGTGTGTTTTAAATAAAGCCCGCTCTTTGACAGTTTGTGTTCTTTCTTTGCTTTGCTTTAGTTTTAACCTACTTTATATTTATATCCAATTTATAGCATCTTTTTTGTAATCTTCTTATGTTACCATATTTTTCATAAATTTCTTCATTTTGTGTTAATGTTCAAGTCATCCTTCACCTCTCTTTATAACTTAGAGCTACCTTTTACTTTTATATGCCAAAACAAAAGAGACGAAAGTTTCATTAGTCTATTCTATTCCAAAGGGGGAAATGGTATATTACAGTTAACTGGATCCAAAAATAAAGCATTTTCCAAGGAATCCTTTCACATGAATATGGATCTAGTGTGCAAAATAAAATCAAAGCAATGTTATGTTCATATGTTACCCATCAGTGTTGTACAGCTGTCTCCTGAAGATGCACATGACTACATGAGGCCCCATATTCCCACAAGTCATTACAGCCGCATATCAGGAACTTCTCCCTTATTATTCATGGGGACTTGGGGAGATGTTTTCTGAAATATGACTCCAATGTTTTGTTGGGGCTAGATCCGGTTTTGTCCAGATTAGCTCGTATCTTCTGAAAGCAAAAGTCATGTATACACCTGCAGGCACAACATCCAAATGCACATTGAGAATATCCCCCCTATTACTGTGTTAAATTTATGGGAAGATATTCCTTTTGTGAGTTTGGATCTACTACTACTCACACCAACCTTACAGCAAGTTTCAGCAGCACATGTGAAACATTTTTTGTACTTGTATTGTTATTCACAGGGAGATGTTTCTAATACACTGTGGGATATGGTGTGAGGAGAAAATCCCAATTCTCCCTATGTCGTGCTCTCAGGTATGTATACGATTTTTGCGTTCAATAGATCCCATCTCAGTCCAGATCTGCGGGCTAGCCCAATGGGCTATCCAACAGGGATAGCCCTCGTCAAAACCCCATACTCATTCCAAGTTCCAACCCTGGTGAGCGGTGAGGCAGGATTTAATCCCATGTCTCCTCTACATCTCGAAGACTTTAACACCAAGTCAGTGGGCACCTTCGCTATGAATATGTTTGTCATCACTATTGCTGTCCAGACTTATTGGCATTTGAGAGCCTTGTTGGAATGTTCAGTTAACAGTTTTTAACTCAGATAAACTACACAGTATGGCTTATAGCATTTGTTCAGAGTAAATTTGCGATCATTTATGCCCCAATACCTGACTAAAACAAACCCTATTTTGGCATCCTAAATTCAGATTTGGAGCTGTTGATATGTAGCTATTGTCTGACAGCCATAACTCGGCCCATCTTTCATGTTTAAGAGATCATCCCAACATTGGGATGGGATTAATTTCACCTTTTAGACCACAAAGTGAATCTGGGTTTGAATATATTCCTTGTCGGAAATGAAATCATCCTCTTTGAACTAGTATTTGGTTACTATTGAAATAGACCGAAAGCCAATACAAGAAAATGACCTGACCTGTTAAGCATTCTACTTATTCGTGGAATGTTGTAATTGGATGAGTTTTACCTTAGGATCACAAAGGTGGATCTGGATATGAATTTAGGCAAAATCTATGACGCATCAACTGTGCATCAAAGGACATGGATCAATGATATTTTTGGTTCATGCCATGTTAAATGTTAAAATATACCTTGTTATACACGAAAGTACATTTTATGAAATATGAATTAATGGAAAAAAAAAAGATTGTACTTAATATCAATGGACGGTGGCTGAACTCTTGAATGTATTATTCCTTGGGATCACTACCTAAGGCTCAGTTTGGAAAGAGTATAAATGCAAATATGTACAGTACAAATATATACAAAATAATACAAAACATAAGGTTTTACGCTCTACATATTTGCATTTGTACTCCTTCCAAACTAAGCCTAAGGTGGTGTTTGATATCTGCAGAAATAGGCACTGAAAGTAGGATACCGACAAAGATTTAAAAAAAAAAAATGAAGCTTGAGAAACAGTATAATTATGCCCCTAAAAATTTATCATATATCAATAAACCCTGCATTTTAGCTACGTTTAAGTTTAGAATCTTTTCTGCATTCCACTTTCAAAGCCAATTTTTGCAGTTGTCGAAGACCCATGGTTGTGTTTGGATAGGCTTTTGCTTTCATCCATCCAAATATACCAACTGTAAGACTGCAAGGTCAAATTCAACTGAACAATGTTTTAGGGCCCCGATTTATGAATAATAGCCACGTGGCAAATTCTTGCGTTACTTGAATGGTACGAAGCCTTAGACCATCCAATTCACTTGACATCACTTATATGGGAGTCTTGATCACATTCGCATACACATACATGCTCATGCTTTTGATCAACAAAAGGAGAATGTTAGTTCCACCAGTTGATTAGGGCTTAAAAAAGCCCAAGTGCATCCGACTGTAGATAATCCACATGATAAGGCCCGTGGACCGTTCTTAGTTCACTAGAGGAGAAAATGGTCGTTAATGGGCTAAGGGCCTAACTTTCATTTTCGGGAGTCGGGACATAACAAATTGCTTACTTACGGCACTAATTAACCGTTGACTACCATTCCGCTCTGAGACGACACGTAGGAATCAATACTCGAATCTTCTCCGCCTCTTTCTTATCTCCCTTTTGGGTAATCTTGATTGTAGTATGTTACAATACGTTACTAGCGTACACCGTTGGATATTTGATCCATGATTTGACGATTAGAAATTGAACGGATTAGGTAGGCTCTTGATTATATTAGCCCGCCAACGGAAGTTACGATATCATTGTTGGTTGTTCTTCCTTCTTACGGCCAGGACACCCGAAACCTGGGGCTAATCTTCGATGAAATTAATTAACATAACCAATTCAGTTAGTAGTTTCTGTTTCAGTTTGGTGTGATTTGTTCTCTCTCTCGCCTACTCCTTCCTGGATTTCTGTCTCTTCGGTTGCTCCAGGCTTTTCAGTAATCTTTCGCTGCAACAGATGGAGATGACAATGGCGGATTCTCGTTCGTGCGTCGTTTATTCACATATCTGTGAAGTGATTGCTGGAAAAGAGCGACGAATACGTTGGGCGCCGAAGAGATGTAAGGTATGTACGGCCGGTAGTGGTCGGTTTAAGGGTTACTGAGTTGCAATTAGGTTTTCTCTTGTGGAATTAGGTTTTCTCTTATGGAATTCGAACATCTGTTTAGCATTCTTCGTTGTCTGGGCTGAAGGTACATGAAGAATTGAATTTGAGTTTTTCTTTTGTGGGTTTCGAGGTGTTAGAATGAGTTCTAATGGTAATCGTTTGAATAGAAACGTTGAAACCACTTGTGTCTGTTGGCTTCGATGGAGAATGCTGTCAAAAATCGTATGCTAGGGCTTTCTTAGAGTTTTATCTGGAAAGGATTCAAAAGTTATTATTTCTTTGTGGTTGTTGTATGTTGAAGACGATTTCTTTCTGTTCAGAAGTCAAAAGGGTTTAAAAACTATTGACGGCTCAAAATTTTGGTTCTTTGAATATAAGAGCGGGAAATTTTGAATGGCTGGAAGAAGAGAATTAGGACTTCCAAGGCCAACGGCTTCCAGTCTAAGAGAACAAGCCGCCAGAACTACACTTCGAAAGGTAAGATTACAAGGACACACGTACGTTGAACTGAGAGAGGAAGGGAAACGGTTCATCTTCTTCTGCACCCTTTGTCGTGCTCCATGTTATAATGACTCTACATTGTTCGACCATCTCAGAGGTAATCTTCACAGGGAAAGGTATGAGGCTGCAAAGGTTACTCTGTTAGGATCAAACCCATGGCCTTTTAATGATGGAGTTCTTTTCTTCCATGATTCACCTGAACAAGACAAGCCCCTGGCTATCTCTAGTTCTAGCCAAAAGAGGTTATTGATTTCTAACAATAACCACGACGACAATGACCACAACAACAATGGTCTCGCTCTTGTCAACCATGGTGGAATTTCCAACTGTCTGCCCAATGGTCCCCTTATGCTTGATGGAGTTGATCATAGAAAGCAAACTGTTTCCTGTGGGGTTGAATCAAGATGTATATTGAACATCAATGACAAGAACTTGGATGCTAATGGTGGGAACCAGACTATGATTATTCGTGAAGTTGTCATTAAAGATGAAATTTCAGATTTACAAGTAAAGCTTATGGGTTTTGGACAGATATCGGCAAGGATCTGTGAAAACGAGATCTCAAAAAGGATTAGTAGAATATGGTGTGCTTGGTTGGGAAAACAGGATCCAGGTGACAGGGACATGTTGTCAATACCAGATTATGAGTTTGGTGTTGTTATTTTTTCTTCTACTTTTGATTTAGGTAGAAAAGGGTTATTAGATGATTTAAGCCCATTGCTCTCTTCTAGTCCTCATACAGAAATTGAGAATGTCACTGGCACGAGAAAGAAAAGAAGAAAGTCCTTCTCTGACCCAGAGGATATTAGTGAATCTTTAAGTGACTGTGGTTCATCAGGAGAAGATTTTGGAGATTCTTACAGCTCTATGTCAAGATTGCTATTAGATAGATATGATGATCAGCTTCAACATACAAGGCTTATATCAAGCAAGAACTTTAGGCGGGAATTGAGGCGGCAACAACGAGTAGCAGCTGAAAGAATGTGTGATGTCTGTCAACATAAAATGCTGCCTGGGAAGGATGTTGCAACCTTGCTAAATATGAAGACAGGAAGATTTGCTTGCAGCAGTAGAAATTTGAATGGGGTAAGTTATAACCACCAATTTCTTTTCCATTGTGTTATTTTAGGATATTTCTGTGTATTTTCTTCTAGCTTTTGTTTTTATATTATGGTACCTGATTTAGGTAGTTTATCTGATTGTGCATTATTCTCTTCCTTTGTCATGTAGGCTTTTCATGTATTTCACACTTCCTGTCTTATACATTGGATTCTTCTCTGTGAGCTTGAGATATGGAGAAATCAATCATCCAGCACAAAAATGACCAACCAATCTGGGAGAAAGCCTGGGACAAAGTGCAAGAAAATGCAAATAGATGCTGGGAGGGGAATTGCAGAAACAAAAGTCTCTTCTGTATTCTGCCCTGAATGTCAGGGGACGGGTATAATCATTGAAGGAGATGAGCTGGAGAAACCATCCATCCCTCTTTCCGAGGTTCATATATCACAAACCAAATTCCAATTAATGGATCTTCTTTTCTCCCATTTTCCTCTTCTGTTCCTTTTGTTTGTTTCCATTTGTTTCATTGTTTAATGGCTGCTTTAATTGTTTCAGATGTTTAATTACAAAATAAGAGCAAGTGATGCACACAGGGCATGGATGAAGGGTCCTGAGATTTTACAGAATTGCTCAATTGGTCTACGGTTCCCTGATCTGTCTGAAGAAACTGTTCAGGTTTTGCTTGACAATGCTTTCTGATTGCTTTTTGAATCTGACTTTTCTGTGGATTTGTTATTACTAACTTTTCTTTCTCATTCTCTCTCTTGTTTTCAGGAAAAGGTTTTGAATCTAAAGTTGCTACGTTTCTATCGAGCCAATGGTGAATAGATCATGGAACAAAATTACTCTGAACTACATAAATGTCAATATTTTCTAAGTAGTTCTTTAAAGTAGGACTTATTACTCTGAGCATATATCTGCAGAGTGTTGTACAAACATGTGCATTCATTCCTTATGAACAGTTGATGACAAGTTTCTCCATTGTAATAGTAGAATCTGTTCTGTTCTTGTATCTCATTTGTCACCCATGGTTATTCTCTGTCAAGACTTAGGTTCAATGATCCATAATATTCTGCTTTCCTGAGTTGCTTGGTCCTAAATTTCCTTTTTTTTTCCTGGTAAATAAATAATTTTAGTAATTTAAGCTATGTAGGTCTTCTCTTTGTAGGGCTATAATATATTTGGTTGAATTTTCATAGACTGATTATATGATATAGTTTTTATTGGTAATTCAAATTTCATAAGGATATTTATTTGGAGAATTTTGTTAAGTTCTAAAAATTGGTCTTCTATTCATTCTGTTCGGTGATTTGCTTCATTATTATTTCTTTTTTGGCTATTTTTATTTACATCTGTTTTTGGTTCTTTTCATTTAGGTTTAATTGTTAGGATATTTAGTATTCTTTCTTCTGGTTGTGATTTAAATTACTTTGGATAATTTTCCTTTGTCCTTTATACCATTAAGTCTGCATGGTCATTTGAATGACATCTCAGTATTCATTCATTTGATCAGCCGTCCATGAGGCACCTATTAGACTTCTGGTTTCCCCCTCCAACAAATACACTCTTTTGTTTGATATAAGTTTTCTTTTGACTTTGTAAAAGGGGTGGAAATAAGAGCTGCATCCATAAAAGGGCCAAATATATAACTGAAATAAAAATGTCAAATGAATGTGTCCTTTTTAAGAAAAACACATCTCATTTCATATGCTTCTTGGCACTTCATTTCAAGAAAAATTGTGGCTTGAATTCCAAAGCATTTCCTTTTCCCAGCTCTTACATGTTAGTATGCCACTTGGTATGGGCAAATGAAAGTAGTTGATTGTATGCTTTTAACTTTTTATCTTCTTTTTTTTTTTTTTAAAAAAAAAACCTAAGTAGTTGATTGTATGTTTTTAACTTCTTAATCTTTTTTTTTAACCTAAGTAGTTGATTGTCTGTTTTAGTAACTGAGATTGTATTTAGTAATCAGGGGTGCAACCTGGGCTCGTTTAGCCTGAACTGAATCCGACCTGAAAAGGTCAGGTTGGGTTTGATTTTGGTTGAAAGTCAGACTAGGGGTTAGGGTTGAAAAATATGAACCTGATTCAGGTTTGGTTAGGGTCAAGGCCTTGGGCAATCCAACCCAAACCCCATCGACATCCAATGGATATGTAAAACATAGATTTGAATTTGATTCCTTTACATATTTGGAAATCAATTTGATCAGGTTCAGATAGAGCTCTTGCTGCCTCTAAGCCACCTCAAATGCATGCATTTTTTACTTTTATCATTCTGTCGTTCATCTATCTCAACATTTACAGTTATCTTTCGCTTCTATCTATCTCAGCTATAACATTTTGACAATGTTCTACTCCCATAAAAAGGATGGTGATCTTATAGCCATTTTCTTTTCTTGGTTCAATTTGATTGGCTTGCATCAGCAACTAAATTTTACTTGTTTAAACTTTAAATGGATAGCATCCCATCAAGACATAAAAATGGTCATTACTCAATATTGGTCCCAGCTATCTGGTGTCTTGGTCCTGGGAAGGGGTGCACTGGATATGGACCATTTTTTTTTCCTCCAGACTCATGGCCACATTCTTATGCTTGTCAGGTCAACATTTTATCATTAGACCAAGGAGTGGCCATCTCAAATTCTCAATTCATAAATTCCTTAATTAAGAGTAATTTAGAAATGATTACAAGCTACATGGATCCTGAATATATACAGTCAAATGTTGTCTTTCAAAATAATGCATATTGGCAAACCTCCTAATAAATGCCCCTAAATGACCACTCATCTCTCCCTGCCTTGTGCTTGTCCTCAGTCCTCGCCTAGACAAGAGAAAGAAGCTTTGGCAGTTCAGAAAGCTAGCTTTAAGAGCACACATGCAGGGTAAGAGAACGGAGGAAGGAGGGAATGTGAAAACCATTAGAAGCTTATTTTTTCTTTTTAATTTTATTTATTTATTACAAATTCTTATCCTGTTTGGCTGCTTTGTCAGGACAAAGACTTCAGGGGCTATTCACTAAACAAAAGTCTTACTTAAATGGTTCTTTCGGTTATAAATTGGGGGGCATAATCCATGAAAAAAAAACACTAAAAATTAGATGGCTTAGCATAGCTCATTTTCGATTAACCCGGCTTAAGCCTTCTCAAAAATCAGAATTGACAAACTTTGTAAACTTTTTATCTGGTTGAGCTGATTCCTGAGACGATACGTTTAAAAAACACAAGAATAGAAGAAAAACCCGTTGACATTTGAATCTTGAGAATACTTTTCCTGCAATAACTACTGTTCACATTGCCATCTGACAGTATTTGCTATTCGTCAAATGCTAAGCTGAGGAATGAACTTTAGATAGTTTATGGTTTCTGATTTGTTTCTGTTTTTCTTTGGTTTTGAATGACAAAATAATTTCCTGGAGTTCTATGGGTGGAGTTTAGGCTCAGTTTGGAAGGAATACAAATACAAATATATACAGTGCTAATACATACAAAATAATGCAAAATACAAGGTTTTACTTTTATAGTCTTTCCAAACTGAGCCTTATGGATGGTCTTGGAACAGAAAGCTTATCCATTTTCTGAATACTTAAAAAGTCTATTGTTCTCAACAAGAAAGAGGTATACATGGTTCTTTCAAAAGTGAAGCTTTGTATTGAACAAAAATAAAAAGCTAAAAGCAAATGATCTATAGAACATCATCAAATGGGTTTCAACTATACCAATTCAATGTCTTAAATTTTATGTTGTCTATTAGCAAATGAATGTTTTGTCTATTTCAATGTCTTAAAATAAACAACTCAAAAAATGTGTTTCAACCATACCATTTCAATGTCTTAAAATTTGGGGCATTTCCCACTTCAGTTATATGGCATCTAATGACTTTAGACATCACACTAGTTAATGGTCAAGTTTCTCTTTAGGGGGGTGTTTGGCACTGTGGATTTTTGTAAATTGCTTGGTTTGGAAACACGCCATACCCATTGGGCACTCTTTAAAGGGTGTAGCATGTTTTGAAATCATTTGTGCATGGTTTTGAAACACAAAATATATAGTATTTATTTCACATCAATTGTCTGGGTCAATCCACACCATGCTGAATTGGATAATTACAATATGCAATGAAATAACTAATAAATGATTGAAGTATTTTTATTTAAAATCTTATTCAGTCATTTACAGAAATGTTGGGAACTGTTAAATATCTTGTTAATAATATATTCATATCACAATGCAAAACAACTTATGAATCATGATGCAAGTTCAAAATATTGACACGTATGAAGTGTGTAATTTGATCCATATTCTTTGTTATTTTAATTTTAATATATGATCATTTGCAAATAGATATTATAAAATAATAATTACTATTTAAACCTTTTTAAAACCACCTAAATTTTATTATTTCCTGCAAGCAAAAATTCTACACATATAATATATGATCAATATGTTATGATACTTTACAACCATATTGGCGTGACGAGGTTCAAACCAAGTAATTTCAACCACACACAACGGGGTTCAATAGTTTCAACAAACACATCACACGGATCACAGTCGACACCAACAAAGCACCAAAGGTGACCAATGAAAAATTTCGGTCGATTGACCAGTGACCATGTTGTTAGGCCATGGATTTACACCGAGTTTTGGAACTGATCCGACTCGAATCCTTTGGAACCTAAGATCACGAATCAGTTCCCGCTCCAAGATCCCTATTTACCAGCTGATCCGACGGTTGTTATTGATTATTAAGCGGGGCATAATCTAAGATATTATGCTAGTTGCCACTTGCCACCTTCTCTAGTCGTTCGAAGTGATTCCGATAAGAACTAAAAGAAGAGGGTCGGCGGTCTTTACTTTTCCACTGGCAGATAGGACATTTGGCTATCACAGAAAATATTGAGAAAAATTAAAGCAAGCGCGGAGAAGTCTGTTTTCGATTTAATTCTCTTTCTCTCTCGTGCTCTCGTTTACCACTTTAACGCCGCTTTCACTCGTTCCACCGGTCTTGCTGTTCTCTGAAGCGGGGGAAGATGGGTGGGTCTGTAAAGGATCTTCAGTCAAAGCAAGAGCTCGATACTGTGCTTCATGAGGGCTCACCGGTTATTCTTCACTTCTGGGCATCCTGGTGTGAAGCTTCCAAGCAGATGGATCGACTCTTCTCCCATCTCTCCACGGATTTCCCGCATGCCCATTTCTTCAGGGTTTGTTTTCTTCGTCCCCCCTTCTGTTACTCTCCTTTGATTATCGGATAACTCTTTTGAGAAAACCCATCAGGATTATGATCTGCATTTTGCAAATTGTGCTGGATCTTTTCTTTTTTGTTTATTCTGTCATTTTGTTTTTCCATTCCTGGGGGTGTGGTTGGGGTTGTGTACTAATGGTCGCTTAAAATCGTTGTGCTACTTACTTTTCTTACTTTATTTTATTTATTTTTTAATACTTTGCAGGTTGAAGCTGAGGAGCAACCTGAGATATCTGAAGCATTTTCAGTTTCTGCAGTACCTTACATTGTCTTCTTCAAAGTAAGATGGCTGATTTCAAGAAATAACTCCCAAAAAATCAATAAATTCAGATATCGGTATCTATTAGTTTGATCAAAGCATAATGATCGCCACAGGAGTTAGTATGGCTGCGTGCTTGTAGCTTTTAATGGATTCATATTTTTTATAATTTCCCTGTTGCATAATATACATATGTTGATTATATATAAGAGGTAGGTGTAGAATTGTACTATATGTTAACGGGAAGTTCTGTTGGATGTGAAGAATGCACATGTTCTATAAATAGGCACCTTTCCCTCCACAAAAGTTACTCCATTAAGGTATATCATTGTCCATAAGAAAAAGTCCTGTTTATCTCATGTTTTGCAAGGACATTAACCTTAATTATAACTTTTCTAAGGTGTCCAAAGAGTTTGCTCCATCAATCCTGTCAAGATCTCTCTGATTTCAGTTAGACAGTGAGCCGAGTACCAGAGAGGGGTTACTGTTTGCGTTCTAGCTCCATTTGATTACATTGTCTAAAATTTTGGTGTTATATAGTTGTTTTACCCACCAAAACATTATTCTGAAATAGGGAGCATAGGAACTTTAGGCAGTTCTATTTCCTAATTGTTTGATTTGTGGGTGAAAATAGTACAGTGTCACTTTTGGGTATCCTTGATGGGGTTTACTTGGATCCTACGAAATGTGATAGCAGGGTTTGGACTCTCTCAGCCTTGGGGTTGTTCACTTGTTTTTTCTTTTTCAATGCCTTAACTCAACCTATTGATCACCTTGCAATTTTTTATCAGTTTTTCTGGTCAATATTTTTGTTGGGAAGCATTCCTGGAAAGAATCAACATTTGTGAATTAATATAGAGAAAGAGGCGTAAAATTTGTTTATCTCCTCATTGGTGTGTTCTATGCAAAGATGAAGGTGAGAATGATTATTACTTATTAATCTCTTGCCGTTTTGCTAAATGTATTTGGGAATGGTTCTTTCCTTTGTTTGGGTGTAGGTGGACTCCCCCACCGGATGTGCAAAGTTTTTTTGCCCCAAATTTGTTTAGATGGCCATTAAAAAGAGGGAGAATTATGTGGAGAAGTGTAAGGGCTGTGGTTTTCTGGACTTCATGGGAAGAAAGGAACTTAAGAATATTTTTAGATATGGAAAGAGGGTTACAATCTGTATTGGAGGTGATTCACATCAGAGTGGTGCACTGTCTAAGGTCATTGGAATTGTTTAATGACTTTTCAACTGATGATTTGCCAAGGAGTTGGAAGGAGGTTGCGAGGTCAGCCCCAGTGGTAGTGCCTTCTTAACATGCTTGGGCTCCACCTCCTATTGGATTTATCCAGTTGAATTTTGATGGGAGTTGTGCTGGGAATCCATGGCCTTCGGGTCATGGATTTGGGCATTACTAAACTAGGTGATTCTCTTCGCTGAGATCATGGCAGCCTTGGAAGGTGTACAAAGAGCCAAGGATTTGGGCATTACTAAACTAGTTATACAAGGAGACTTCAAGTTGGTGGTGGGCTGGCTGAAGGAAGAGATAATTGGATTTTGGAACTATAGCAATGAAAGAGGAAATTCAAGTAGATGGCAAAGGATATTAGAATTAAGCTGAATTGGGTTAAAAGAAGTGCTAGCTCTTTTGTTGATGGGTTTGCTAAGCAAGGGGTAAATAGGGATGCTTTGCTTTGGGCTCATATGTAACTTTGTTTTTGCTTCTTTTGGTTGGGAAGTTAAGAGAGTTTATATCCCCCTTTCCTTTGTACTTAATCTCTATTTTTCTTAATGAAACTTATTTGTTATTGATAAAAAAAGTAGCCTAGGCAATCCAGAGCCTTCAGGCATTGGGGGAGTCTTCAAAAATGTGGAAGGTCAGACTGTGGCTTTGTTTCCTGGTCCTATTGGGGTGTGGGACTCTGTTAATGCGGAAGTCCAAGTGGTTATGCAAGGAGTAGAGATAGCCCAAGAGTTATGATTTGAACATTTGTTAATTGAAGGGCACTCAAAATTGGTTATTAGGTGGTTGTAAGAACTGGAGTCAGCTGCATGGTCCTACCGGGGGCTTTGAGAAGATTCAAGTCACTAACCACAAATAATACAATGAGAATTAGATGGGAAGGGAGATCAGAAAATGGGCTGGCAGATTTGTTAGCGAAGCAAGGGGTGCATAAAAACCAGTTGTTTTGGTTCAATTGTAAATTTGATTTGCAGGCAGCACCTTGCGCCTCCTTGTGGGAAGCAGTACTTTTGTATCTTTATTATTGATATTAATGAAATTTGGTTACTTATAAAAAAAATGGTGGGTGAAAACGTGAGATGCATAGTTTGTGTCAGTTTATTGCAAGTTATGAATTTTCTACCTCTTTGAACTTTTTGTTTGTACTTTGTAGCTCTTTCTAATATATTATTACTGGTCTGTGCTCTAGTTTGTGAAAGTTCATCTGTTAATTTTATTAGTAGGCCCTTAGTTAAGATCTCTTCTTCCATTGTATCTGATTTTGTGGAAGCTAATCTGGTTTGGACAATGGCTCTTGATAAATGTTTGACTAAAGCTAATCTGGAGAGGTGTGGCATTCAGATTCTGGATCCTTCTTGTGGTTTGTGTGGATCTCTTTCAAAAATTACAGTGCATTTGTGCATTCACTGCCCAATTTCCTCCATGGTATGGGGGCACTTCCTGAAAGCTCTGGATATTAGTTGGGTTATGCCAAGATCAGTGAGGGAGCTGTTGTGCTGTTGGAGAGTAGAAGGCCTCAACAAGAAGGGGAATCTAGTATGGAAAACCATTCCTGCAGCTATGTTGTGGTCCATTTGGGCTGAGAGAAACAACAGAACTTTCTGTAGTAAAATGAAAATTCTGGATGAATTAGTGCAGAGAGCTGTGCGCAAGTTAATCTCTTAGGTGTCGGTTACTGAGGAGTTCAAACATTAGAATCTGACTCATTTGTTTTGTTCTCAGTCCTGGATGAGTTTGTGATCTGACTTGTACCTAGGCAGTCTTATTGGCCTGGGTTTTGTTGTATTATTTCTCATTTTCTGTGTTGAATAAATTACCTTACCTTATTCAAAAAAAAAAAGTGGAATGTTGATGGTGAAACCATCATTTCTTGTTAAGAAAATTTGTCAATCTCCAAGGAACTGAACTTGCTTTGGTGTTATCCAATTTGCCAGCTACATAAAGCAATGCATGTTTTTCTTTCTTCCCTTGTCATAAAAAACGTTTGCACATTTGTTCATTCTAGTAGACTTGGGAGGTCTACAGAGTCATCCCTGTATAGGGGGCCTATTGTTGATTGTATCATCAGTAGTTTTGGAGAAATTGTTTATAAATTCTTCATTGCAAGGGACACCTCTGGTACTAGTTCTGGTAATGATGCATAAATTGAAGCATATAGTTGTCAAGGCAACACCTAAGCAATAAGGCGCTCATGGAGGGTTGCCCTGCTTAATCTCCAAGATATTTTTTATATGGTGCTCTTGGATACTTTTTATATTCGTAGTTTTTGAGATTATAATAGTAAATTTACATTATTAAACTAAATTATTCAGTTTAAGTTAAAATATTAGTTTTTTTATTATTTTTCTCATTCGTTAGGTTTCAATTAACATGTATTACTGTCTTGAACCCTTACTTAAAAACATGAACTGATAAGCATGGAAAAACTCAAAATTTTGTCCAATCAACACATATTTTCTTCTTCTTCCTCCTCTTCCATCCTTTCATTTATTTTTTTCCTTTCCTATGACAAAAATAAAGTCTCAAACCCTCTATTTTCTGAAATTTCTTTTCTCCCACTCTTTTTATGAACAATTAATAGTGAAAGATGGTTGTTGCTTGCCATGGAACCTAAGGAACTGACTTAGGATTCATGGTTTTTATTAAAAAAAGCCATTGCCTAGGCGACTAGGTGATAAGGTGTCCCCTTGTCGCATAGCCTCACCTTGATGCCTTGAAAGTATGCCTCTATGGTCCACTCCCTTACTTTCACAATTTCTAATGAAGTCTTGAAAAACAAGTCACCCTTGACGAAGCTAAATATAAACAAAAATGACAATGGTGAACTAATTCTTAGTTGAATTGATTAGATTTACAAGAATTGTACAAATCATAAGGTTTATGATTCAAATTGTAGGATTCAAACAGAAGTCATAAGATTTTTGCCAAAAAAAATGATTTGAATTGAAACCCTTGGGATTCATGATTCAAATTGAAACCCTTGCCAAAAAAATGATTCATGATTCAAAAAAAAATGATTCAAATCGTGAATTGTATTGTAAATTGTAAGATTTTGATAACATTGTTAACAAGTTACGAGCATCTTAATAATCAAATTTAAACCTAATCACCTTGGAACAACGGTAAAGATGGTCACAACACTTTTTTGCAACCCTTTAATAAAACATAAACATTCTATCAATCAAATGAATGATGAGTGCATGCTAGTTGTTGCTATCCCAAGTGATATATGAACTACCCACTATCATACGATAAAATGGAGATTACCTCTATGATCCGGTCCACTACCTTACAAGGAATATCGAGAAATATGAAGGTAGCCTAACATGTGGAGCATACATAATCATAAAACTTTCTTGTGGCCTCTTAAAAAACCCCAAACTGCTATAAGTCAAAGAATAAACCTAATCACCTAGTGAGTGCATGCCTAGGTGATTTAGTTTTCACGAGCTCACATGGTCACAAAACTTCTTGTGACCATCCAATAAAACACAAACACACTGCTATCAATCAAATGAAAAACCAAATAACCCAGCAAAGGCATGGCTGCCATTGCCACACCAGATGATACAAGAACAACCTACTATCATATAAAATCGAGACTACTTCTAGGACCCTCAAAGACTTCAAAACCTGGACTATAAGGCATGAAAGAACTCTAAATTTTGTCCAATCAACACATATTGATTTTCTTCTTTCATCCTTTCTTTTCTTTCTTCCACTTTTTCATGAATATTGTTGATTTTCTATGTTTTAAATGAAATTTATACATTTTTAATGAAGATTTTTTTG